GTACAACTAACACAAGCTATGAAAACTAATACTATCACATATCAAAACATCTCAGGAACAGATCATTATAACTGCATAACATCACTGTTGCACATACACTTACTAAATCTCCCCCATACCTCTTAGTGTCCCAAAGGTCTGAGTAGCCCAAGAAGAAAAATCAGGAATCATCAATAACATATAATGTACAGTAATGACTGTAAGAGTCACTACTGTAAAATAGGACAAATAGGCAGAAGATTCATAGAGCATATCCATGAACAGCAAGTAGCAGTCAGAAGACATGATGAAAACTTCTTAATCTCACCGCATATGGACAAATTCAACAATAGTTTCAATAGAGAAACTGTGAGCATCTTAGGCCAAACTAAATGATAGGGGATTCTTGGAAGCTTGGCATTCAGAGAAATCAGTCATCAATAGACACATTGAAATAAACCACATTTGCATGCCATTCCAAAGAGACAATATAAAGGTAAGAAAGAAATAAAAAGACCAGAATGCATCCTTTCCAGCAGCCAACACTCATCTAAGCATGGACTAACACCAGACAAACATTCAAGCAGAAAACAATACCCTAATCACAGGCCTACGAAGGAGAAAACTACATTCTCACCAACACTGGGAGGGCAAACTGTATATAAACAGGGTGCAAACTCACCAACACTGATAATGTTATCTACAGGTGAAACTCAAAAATTTAGAATATCATGCAAAAGTTCATTTATTTCAGTAATGCAACTTAAAAGGTGAACCTAATATATAAGATAGACTCATTACATGCAAAGCAAGATAGTTCAAGCTGTGATGTGTCATAATTGGGATGATTATGGCTTATAGCTCATGAAAACCCCAAATCCACAATCTCAGAAAATTAGAATATTGTGAAAAGGTTCAATATTCTAGGCTCAAAATGTCCCACTCTAATCAGCTAATTAAGCCATAACACCTGCAAAGGGTTCCTGAGCCTTTAAATGGTCTCTCAGTCTGGTTCAGTAGGAATCACAATCATGGGAAAGACTGCTGACCCGACAGTTGTGCAGAAAACCGTCATTGACGCCCTCCATAAGGAGGGAAAGCCTCAAAAGGTAATTGCAAAAGAAGTTGGATGTTCCCAAAGTACTGTATCAAAGTACATTAATAGAAAGTTATGTGGAAGGGAAAAGTGTGGAAGAAAAAGGTGCACAAGCAGCAGGGATGACCGCAGCCTGGAGAGGATTGTCAGGAAAAGGCCATTCAAAAGTGTTGGGGACTTTCAAAAGGAGTGGACTGAGGCTGGAGTCAGTGCATCAAGAGCCACCACACAGAGACGGATACTGGACATGGGCTTCAAATGTCGTATTCCTCTTGAACAACAAACAACTTCAGAAGCGTCTTCCCTGGGCTAAAGAAAATCAAAACTGGTCTGTTGTTCAGTGGTCCAAAGTCCTCTTTTCTGATGAAAGCAACTTTTGCATCTCATTTGGAAACCAAGGACCCAGAATCTGGAGGAAGAATGGAGAGGCACATACTGCAAGATTTGGGGAGCCAGGTCATGTGCTGGTGTTGGTCCACTGTGCTTCATTAAGTCCAGGGTCAACGCAGCCGTCTACCAGGAAATTTTGGAGCACTTCATGCTTCCTTCCACAGACGAGCTTTTTGGGGATGCTGACTTCATTTTCAAGCAGGACTTGGCACCTGCCCACTCTGCCAAAAGCATCCAAACCTGGTTCAATGACCGTGGGATTACTGTGCTTGATTGGCCAGCAAACTCGCCTGACCTGAACCCCATAGAGAATCTATGGGGCATTGCCAAGAGAAAGATGAGACATGAAACCGAACAAGGCAGAAGAGCTGAAGGCCACTATTAAAGCATCGTGGTCTTCCATAACACCTCAGCAGTGCCACAGGCTGATAGCTTTCATGCCACGCCGCATTGAGGCAGTAATTGCTGCAAAAGGGGCCCAAACCAAGTACTGAGTACATATGCATGCTTATACTTTTCAAAGGTCCGATATTGTTCTATGTACAATCCTTGTTTTATTGATTGCATGTAATATTCTAATTTTCTGAGATTGTGGATTTGGGGTTTTCATTAGCTGTAAGCCATAATTAACAAAAATATGACAAATCACGGCTTGAACTATTGCTTTGCATGTAATGAGTCTATCTCATGTATTAGGTTCACATTTTAAGTTGCATTACTGAAATAAATGAACTTTTGCACGATATTCTAATTTTTTGAGTTTTACCTTAGATAATGAAACATTCTCCAAGCAAACAGCCAGGCTCAGAGAGCAACAAGAACTTCCCATTCAACTCTGAGCTACATATACAGTTCTCTTCTACTGAAACCTCTGTTTACACATACAGATTGACAAAACACCATATTATTTTGTTGATTTTCCTTCAAATCAAAGTCATTTTGGCACTTTCTAATCCAACATCATTTATCTGTCAGCTAGTTATAACATTATAGTCTCAAATACACTACTGCTTCTTGGAAACTGAAGACAAGTAATGGCAACCTTAAAAACTCATTTCAGCTTTTAACAGATGATTCTACATAGTAAGTTCTTTGGCTCAAGTGGAAGAATAGATTTCCTCCATACTATCATATCCTCACATACACAATATTTGTTCTGCCACAAAGAAAATTTCCTGGCCTGGACAATAAACCATTATATATGCATGATGTGCCATGTTGGTAACATACAGAGGGATGAATTCAAAATTATGTCTGCTGGCTGATGGCTTCTTCGACATTATTTGAGTTACTACTGTATGCAGCCGGATCAAAACAAATCACTTGTATCAGAGTCCAAGCCCTATTACACTTGTTTGGAAAAATGTTTCCCAGTATTTGTTTCAAATACAATCTACAAAACTTCAAGATTCATAAAATTAGTCAATGTTTTCCAGATAGAAGAATTCAATACAACATAAGAAAATAATTTGTAAATATGTTATTGTTTTGCACAGTGTATTATTGATTCAGATATTTAGTTAATTTGGTTAAGAATATATTCGATCTTAATAGTCTATATTTCTAACTCAAAATGCCATACAGAGCAGTATTCAGCATAAAATATACTAAAATCAATTAAACAAAAATGCCAGTTAAATTCATTTTGTGCACAATAAATACTAGAAAAAACATATTTTGCATATGTAACACACAATATTAATGTATTAATATGATAGCCATCTCAATTTGATCCTCTCCACTTGTATTGCTTTAGAACAGAACAACCTAACCTAGAAGAGCAATGTTTCTAAATAAAAATATTAGAAACGAAGCATGTCTTCCTGATTATTTCAGGGCAGACAAAGAAAAGGCTCATTTGAGAAGTAACTGGAAAGCCTTTTTCTTGTTTTCATCAGCCACATATTATTGAGAAGACCTCCAAGAACAGTTAGGCAAAATCACAATGGAAGTTTCTAAAATGATAAGACTTATATTCTTACTTTAAAAGTTTACATATTCTTGAGGAATTAAGCCCTTTTAAAAGTTTTAATGGGAAAAATACAACTGGAGGCATATAATAGTATTAAAAATACCTATCATCATATGGTTGCATTACATTATATGATCTTGAAAGTTTTGAAGTCTTACTTCTTCTTTTCCCTGGAAACATCACTTGTAAACGCAGACTAAATTTATACAGCTTGGAATACTCATATAAACCCAAAAGGAAAAATTGTTCTCGGTCACAATTATGCATGACATAATATCCTTCCTGAAAGCAGAGCCACAGCAAGGAGCAGCATCCTCCAAATATCTCCAGTTCCTGACACTGTACTGAAAACAACAGTTCACTCCATTGCCAAGGGAATAATCTCCTTCATCAGCGGCTTATTGCTGAAATATGCATGGTTCCTTAATAAATATAATAGGATTTCCCTTCACTTCATATACAACTTCAACTGAACAGTAATAACAATTTAGATCTGCATTCCAAAGGTCACAGCTCTTGCTGCAACTCCCTATTAAATTCAATGAGATTTATTACTAAGTAAACATACATCATGCACCCAACTAGGAAAATAAGAAATCACACAGAACTTTGTAACTCTTGCTGCTTTTCATGATTGAATATGTGCTACTGGTATTTAGTTGATTTATTTCAAGCAGTTTTACAGGTGCCTTGGCTTCCAGTTTCTTACATGTTAGTGGGAAATATGGGGCACTTGATATCCTCTCTTTAGATATTTCACATAAGTTCTGAAAGATTTGTTCAGATTGCGTGTGTGTGTGTGTGTGTATCATCAGCTTTTTGCGCATGGTTCCAAAGTTCACTTTGATTATATGCAATTTGGCCAAAGGTCCATTCCGTTAGCATCAAAATTACGTAGATTGGAAGAAGAAATTGATGTATCTTTTCTTTTATGTATACAGAGAGCATTTGCACCGACAAATTCTTGTGTGTCCAATCACCGTTGGCCAATAAAAGAATTCTATTCTATTCTATTCTATTCTATTCTATTCTATATGCCTAATGAGGCTGCTTGAATGGCCTTGAGATTTCCACAACATGTTATGTGCTTTAGAACATGCCTTAAGAGTCCTCTGGAGACCTGGGTCAATCTTTTCTTCTTACCTTTTCTAAATTATTGAAATAAGTACACAGAGGAATAGTAATCTAAATGATTTTTTTAAAAAAATCTCAGCAGTTCCTTCATGTCCATATGGGAGACAATCTGTCATGTATGGTTCTGCCATTCCAAATATTTTATTGCACAAGGTCACTAATAGCAATTAAAAACAGACAATTGATTGGGGGAGGCTGTGCAGATTCAGGCCGAAGGATAATACTGCAGAAATACAATTCACTTACTCATACATAGCACATGCACATGTATATTTTAGACTGAAATTGAAATGTTTCATTCTGACTGCTTCCAAGAACCAAAATAATTAAACTAGATAAATAGCACAATATGAAATCCTGATCAGATGAGCTAAAAAAAGAATTACCCAAACATTTGTTTCAGTTAAAAACTCAAGGCAGGTGACTCACCCTGTTGAATTTTAGTCAGAAGTTGTTGGCGTGCTAGGATCCTACTTTTCCTGTATGGAGAGCGTCTTGCAGTTTGATCAAATAGCAAGTACATCTCTTGGCCTTCTGTTAACATAGCATTCACACAGAGGCAGCCTGAGTCTGACGTACTAGCCATCTGCCTTAACATCTGTGTCCCGTTTAAAAACAAAACAAAAACAACCAAAATATTGCTGCAGTTTTCCTGGGTGAGAATTCCTCAATCTAATTGAAGTACCGAGAGAAAAGAAGAAGGAAGCCCAGGGAGCTGAAAAGAGCAAGCAATTTAAAAGAGAAAAAGAGGAGTGCCAAAAAGCTACAATTCAGGATTCCAGCTCCCTCACATGATCGGAAAGGGCCAATCAGTCAAAGTCAAGAATGTGAAAGTACACAGCGTGCCTTGAAGAGGAAAGTGAAGGCTGTGCAAGCACTTGTAGCCACATATCACACTGAAAAGCAAACACAAACAGCATGCCTTGCCACTGGGGAGCTACAATAGGAGAATTTGAGGGAAGGAAGGAGGAGAGGTATTCTCTGGCACAATCTTAAGAGAACTTTGTCCAAAAATTTACTTGTAGCATTCTTTTGTCAGATGGCAGTAAAAATTCCTTCCATTATTCAGGAATTCCTTTTAAAGCTTCTTTATACAGATCTTCAGAAATAGTCATTAATATACACAGACTCCAAACATATACACAAAGCTTTTCCCAGCTTGCATCTTACAGTAGTTGTGACTGTTGCAACCTGCTGATTTCTCACTAAGTTGTTTTTAATAGATACACCACATATTTAGGACTGGGAGGCAAGCCTACTAGTTGACAAATTGGTTGGTTTGAAGTGGCACTGGTGTGATATGGATTTACTCAAAACCAAGGCTAAGTGAAGTTTATATCCAGTCCTGTTATGTCTTTGAGTTTAAGTGTATCAACAGATCTTCACTGTTATTCTCTGTTCTTGTTCTCTGGAAGATGACATAGTCGCATATGGTGAGTTCTCTCATCAGAAGTGTTCCGGACTAGCAGGCTCGAAGCCTGCAAACCTGATTGGCCCGCTGATAGCCGATCGTGATTGGTCGCCATAGACTGATGCGATTGGCCAGTAAACGGGCTGCCGCGATTGGCCCTGCCAAGAGCGGCAAACTCAAATCGCCTTCATTGGCTGCCTAGCCGCAGCCAGCCCTATATAAGGGGCTGCTGTGGCTGGGATTAGTTGCTCAGATCTGAAGTCACTAAGAAAGAGCTGTTGTTGCTATCTGAGTCTTGCCTCCGTTCTTGAACCATCCTTCCAGATCTAACACTGGCGACGAGGATGGGATACGGAGGCAACGAAGTCTATTGATTTGAGCTAGCTGAAGGAGCACGTGGCTGACAGAGCGCAACAACGGCGACATGGCCAGCAGCGCTATACCACCCGCACCATTCAATCCAGCTAGCGAAGACTGGGACTCATATATGGACAGATTTCAAATGTTCCTGGAGTCCAACAACCTCAAAGATGCCACGCCTAGCAAGAAACGAGCCGTTTTTCTAACCCATTGTGGGCCAGCCGTTTTTAAGATGGCTAAAGCCTTAGCGAAGCCAGCTGAGGTTAAAACCATGGATTGGGACACCCTTGCTCCCATCCTGAGCAACCATTATGCCCCAGCCGTGCCAACTCTCATTCGCAGACACGAGTTCTACCAGAGGGACCAGTGTGAAGGTGAGAGCGTTGGGGATTTTGTGGCAGACCTGAGGAACCTGGGCGGTTTATGTGGCTTCGCCAACCTCGAAGAAGCCATGAGAGACCGCATCGTCCTTGGCCTCAGAGACCCAACCATCCAGAGCAAGATCATGGCCAAGGGAGACATCTCGCTTGCAGATGCCATAGCAGACGCCACCGCAGCTGAAGCCACTCTTAAATCAGCAGCACGAATGCGTCGAACCAGCGGAACCAACCGCCAACCCACCAACGATGCTGGGAAACCTTCAGACAAGTACACATCGACCACCCATCATGAAGATGTCGAGTCATCCTCAGACAGCGAGGAAGAAGAAGTCCACAGGCTCTGGTCGGAACGTGAGCAATGGGACCAGCGGGGTCATAAACCCAACTACCAATGCGCCGGATGCGGGGGAAACCATCCCCGATCCAAATGCAGATTCTTAGACGCCATGTGTCGTTTTTGCGAGAAACGAAAGCACATCGCGAAGGTATGCAGAAGCAAGAGAAATTCCAGCCCCAGACGGAGAGGCAGCAGCCCAAAGAGGTATGATGGCAACTCCACCACACAGAGGGACCTCCCTAGCAACCAGTGGAACCAGTACAGCAGACCCCGAAGGTTTAACGACACACCCAGATGAGAGGAGGCTCATCAAACCATCACCATCGGCCATGCTTCATCACTTGACGCTAAAAAAATCCGAGTAAAGGTCACCATTGAAAACAAACCGTGCATCATGGAAGTCGACTCTGGGTCATCACTATCCATGGTATCCTGGAGAACACTCAAGCAGCTAATTCCCAACATCCGACGCCAAGACCTCAGCAATCAGAGACTCATACTGAAAGACTATCGAGGCAACCAGATTCCAGTCGCAGGTACCCGCCATGTCCAGGTCTCTTTCAAGGGACATGATGCAATTCTACCACTCACCATCGTAGACAGAGACCGGCCAAGTCTATTGGGCCTTCAGTGGTTCGCGCCATTAGAAATCGGAATGGCTGGCATCCATCATACTGAAGACCATGACTGGGAGGCGGCTCTCGTCCACGACTTCCGAGAAGTGTTCAACAAAAGCCTAGGCAAGTACAAGGGGCCCCTTATTTCATTTAATCTTCACCCCGACATTGCACCCATTCGCCTAAAGCCACGCCGAGTTCCCTTTGCTCTCAAATCCAAAATTGACGAGCAACTGGACAAATTAATTGCACAAGGCGTGTTAGAACCTATTGACCACGCCCGATGGGAGACACCAATTGTCACCCCCATAAAGCCTGACGGGTCCATAAGAATCTGTGGTGACTACAAGGCCACCCTCAATCACGCGCTACAGCAGAGCACCTACCCAGTACCAGTTGTTCAACATCTCCTGCATTCACTTGGGGGTGGCAAAATATTCGCAAAATTAGATCTGGCCCAAGCATATCAACAGCTGCCAGTTGATCCCGAGACTGCAGAAGCCCAAACTATAGTCACACATCGTGGTGCATTCAAATGCAACAGGCTCCAGTTTGGTGTAAGCGTAGCCCCAGGCATCTTTCAAAGCCTGATGGAGACTATTACAAGGTATAAAAGGGGTCGTGCCCTATTTTGATGATGTATTAATAGCAGCACCCACAAAAAACCAATTAGAGAAACGTGTCAGAACAGTCCTACAGAGGTTCAAAGATGCTGGCCTCAAGGTTAAGAAGGAAAAGTGCCAGCTTTGCACAGAAAGGGTGGAGTTTCTTGGCTACCTCCTTGACAAGCAAGGAATCCACCCCACAGAAAAGAAATTGGCAGCTATCAAAAATGCCCCAAGACCCAAAAACAAAACTGACCTCCAAGCCTTCCTGGGACTTATTAACTTTTATAACATCTTCCTACCCCAGAAAGCGACTGTTGCTGAGCCCCTTCATAGAAAGGGCATCCTGGACTTGGGGACGTCGGGAGGAACACGCCTTCCAGCAAGTAAAAGACCTCCTTACCTCTAATGCAGTACTAATTCAGTATAACGAGACACTACCTTTGACTGTCACTTGTGATGCCTCACCATTTGGGGTGGGGGCCATCCTGAGCCATGTCCTACCAAACGGCTCAGAGGCACCAATTGCATTTTTTTCAAGAACTCTATCAAAAACAGAAAGAAACTATAGCCATTTAGATAAGGAAGCCCCTGCTATTGTCTCTGCAATTAAAAGATTTCATGAATATGTTTATGGGAGACCATTTTCTATTATAACGGATCATAAGCCACTACTTGGGATTCTGGCAGGCGACAAACCTACTCCACACATTCTCTCCCCCAGAATGACGCGATGGTCGGAATTTCTCGCTGCCTACGACTATCAATTAAAGTATCGCCCAGGGAAATCTATTCCTCACGCAGATGCCTTGAGCTGCTCGCCACTACCCGAGCCACAGGAAGACCCAGCTCTCACACTCCTGGTACTGCAAATAGAGACAATGCCCTCACCTCCACTAACGGCCCAAGACATTGCCTTTGAAACCAAAACAGACTCTTGTTTGGCACGAGTTCTTGCCTGGGTGGAGAGGGCATGGCCAGATTACGACCCTAAGGAAATATTTAAGCCATTTAAAAACAGACAAACGGAACTTTTTTCACAAAGAGGGTGCATCTTGTGGGGAGACCGAGTTGTTGTAGCAACTAAGTTACAAAAAAGGGACTTGCAAATGCTACACGATGGACACCTGGGCATCGTGCATATGAAAGCGCTGGCAAGAAGTTACGCCTGGTGGCCAGGTATGGACAAACAAATCGAAACCTGGGTCGCCTCTTGTAACAGATGCCAGGAAAACCACTCAGCCCCACCAAAAGCTCCACCAGCAGAATGGGAAACACCCAGGGGTCCCTGGTCTCACATTCATATTGACTTTGCGGGACCTATGAGAGGCCACACTTTCTTAATAACCATAGATGCGTATTCTAACTGGCTTGAGGTCAATAAAATGAAAGCAACCACTACCGAGGCAGTCATCAAAAAACTGAACAGACTCTTCGCCACACACGGGTTACCAGATGTCCTGGTCTCTGACAATGGTCCCCAATTTACTGCCTTAGCCTTTGAACAGTATTTAGCGGAACGGGGCATCCGACACGCACTCACATCGCCAGCTCATCCTGCAGCGAATGGTAGGGCTGAACGAATGGTTCAGTTTACAAAGAAAACCCTGCAGAAAATGGAACAAGGTAACATCCACGACAAGGTCACTAGAATGCTGCTCCTGCAACACATCACACCAAACAGCACGACCAACAAGAGCCCAGCTGAACTCCTGATGGCCAGGAAACTCAGATCGCCTCTAGACCATTTGCACCCTGCCTACAGCCCGGAAAAGCCCCTGGGTTCCAGCAGCAAGCACCGTGCCTTCAAGGTAGGAGACTTGTATTCGCAAAAAAAATTTCTGGGGAGCCCCTCTGGATTCCTGCTCAAGTAACTCAAGTTACGGGTCCCCGCTCCTACCGGCTACTCACCACTGGGGAGGGGAAGCCGTGAACTCAGAATTAGAACCAACACCTGTTTATTCTGAACTAACACCGAGATCACCGCACCATAGTTTGCAACACTCA